GTTGTTAACTCCGGTCACTTTTTTAGTAGTAGGGTTTGTGTGTTTCCCTTCTTTGAGTTGCGCTGGTGAAAGGTCTCTAGATGACTGAGTTATTCTGGGCATTGTTGGACTCCTTGGTTAGTGATTTTCCTTCTATAATTTTCTGTAAGGCTGGATTTGTGGCTATGTATTGTTTGAATTTGTTTTTATCCTGGAAAATTTTGTTTTCTCCATTTATAGTGAACGAAAGCTTGGCTGGATATAGTAGTCTGGGCTTGCATCCATGATCTCTTAGTTTTTGCAGTACATCTATCCAGGACCTTCTGGCTTTCATGTTTTCCATAGAGAAGTCAGGTGTAAGTCTGATAGGTTTACCTCTATAAGTAACTTGGCCTTTTTCCTTTGCGGCTCTTAATATTCTTTCTTTATTCTGTGTATTTTGTGTTTTGATTATTATATGGCGAGGGGATGTTTTTTTTTTTTTGATCCAGCCTATTTGGTGTTCTGTATGCTTCTTGAACCTTCATAGGTACCTCTTTCTTCAGGTTGGGAAAGTTTTCTTCTATAATTTTATTAAGTATATTTTCTGTACCGTTGAGCTGCACTTCTTCTCCTTCTTCTACTCCAATTATTCTTAGGTTTGGTCTTTTTATTGTGTCCCAAATTTCCTGAATGTTTTGTGATGAGAATTTGTTGGTTTTGCTGTTTTCTTTGATCAGTGTGTTTATTTTTTCTATGGTATCTTCAGTGTCTGATATTCTCTCTTCTATCTCTTGTAATCTGTTGTTAGTACTTGTTTCTGTCATTCCTGTTCGTTTACCCAGATTTTCCATCTCCATTCTTCCCTTGGTTTGTGCTTTCTTCATTGCTTCCATTTCATTCTTCATGTCTTGAACCGCTTCCCTAACCTGTTTGATTGCTTTTTCTTGTTTCTCTTGGTTTTCTTGCGTGTCTTTGAGCGATTTATTTATTTCCTCTACCTTTTTGTTTGTAATCTCTAATTGTTTATGGCAGTTTTTCACCTCCTGTTTAAGGTCCTCTATTATTTTCATATAGTTCACTTTTGAGTCGATTTCTTCTATTTCTACAGGAGTAGGGTGTACAATTCTTCTCATTTCGGGATCCCTGGTTTCTGGTGGTGTCATGTTGCCTTTCAGATTGTTGGAGGAATTCTTGTATTGGCGCCTTCCCATCTCTTCCTTCAAATGGAGCCAGGAGAGGCCTGGTCTCTTGGTCCAGACTTTGCTGTGATTGACTCTCAGGGTATATCTCTTCAGTGTAGAAGCAGGAACCGTTCCCGTCCTGATGGGATTCCTCAGCAACTAAACAGGGCCACTGGTAGCCCAATGATCCAGGGCCAACAGGATGAATGGAGCAAGTGGGGGGGGGGGGGTGGTATCCAGGAGCGCGCAGGAAGCCTGGCGCCGGAGCTGAAGGTGCCCGGCTCCTTTACAGGGGACCCTGAGGCCTGCCCGGCTGGCAGGCACTCACCGCTCTGGGTGGGTCGCCTTAGTTTAGGAGCTTAAGACTGTAGTTGAGCACTGGTCCTAGCATACAGCGGGGCAGGGTTGGGGAGGGGTGCTGGGTCGTGCGAAAGAAAGACAGCCCTGCAGAAGGAGCTGGGGGAGGGGGTTTGTGCTCTCTTCCGGGACAGTCCGCCCGCCCCTGGGTAGCACACACTCACCCGTCCTGATGGGATTCCTCAGCAACTAAACAGGGCCGCCGGTAGCCCAATGATCCAGGGCCAACAGGATGAATGGAGCAGGGGTGGGGGAGGGGTGGTATCCAGGAGCCCGCAGGAAGCCTGGCGCTGGAGCTGAAGGTGCCAGGCTCCCTTACAGGGGTCCCTGAGGCCTGCCCGGCTGGCAGGCACTCACCACTCTGGGTGGGTCGCCTTAGTTTAGGAGCTTAAGACTGTAGTTGAGCACTGGTCCTAGCATACAGCGGGGCAGGGTTGGGATATTAATCTATGTTAATGACCAGTGATTGTTAACTCCTGTTATATTTTTGGTGGTAGTTTTTGCGTGTTTCCTTTCTTTGAGTTGTGTTGGTGGAGGGTTGTCAGATATCTGTGCTATTGTGGGTGTTGTTGGCTTCCTTGTGTTGTGTTTTTTTTTTTCTAGTATTTTCTGTAAGGGTGGGTTTGTGGATATGTGTTGTTTAAATCTGTTTTTGTCATGTAATATCTTGTTTTCTCCATTGATGTTGAAAGAAAGCTATTCTGGGTATAGTGGTCTGGCCTTGCATCCATGGTCTCTTAGTGTCTGCAACACATCTATCCAGGATCTCCTGGCTTTCATGGTTTTTATTGAGAAGTCAGGTGATATTCTGATAGGTTTACCATTATACATTACTTGACCTTTTTCCTTTGCAGCTCTTAATATTCTTTCTTTATTCTGTATGTTTTGTGTTTTGATTATTATATGGTGAGATGATGTTTTTTTTTCTTTTTGTTCCAGTGTATTTGATGTTCTGTATGCTTCTTGTACCTTCATAGGAATATTCCTTTTTAGGTTGGGATAGTTTTCTTCTATAATTTTGTTGAATATAATTTCTGAGCTTTGAACTGTAATTCTTCTCCTTCTTCTACCCCTATTATTCTTAGGTTTGTTCTTTTCATGGGGTCCTAGATTTCCTGGATGTTTTGTGTTAAGAATATGGTGGATTTGCTGTTTTCTTTGATCAGTTCATCTATTCCCTCTATTATATCCTCAGTGCCTGAGATTCTTTCTTCTATCTCTTACATTCTGTTGGTTATACTTGTCTCTGTACTTTCTGTTCTTTTACCCAGATTTTCCATATATAGCCATCCCTTTATTACGTCCATTTTGGTCTTTAGTCTTGAACTGTTTCCTTTACCTGTTTGATAGCTTTTTTATTTTTGTGGGTATCTTTGAGTGATTTATTAATTTCTTCTAACTTTTTGTTTGTCTTGTCTTCCATCTCTTTAAAGGAGTTTTTCACTTCCTGTTTAAGGGTCTCCATCATTTTCATAAGGTTAAAAGTCAATTTCTTCTACTTCTTCTGGGTTATGGTGTTCAAGTCTTGTTGTGTGTTTGCTGGATTCTGGTGTTGTCATTTTTGGTTTTCAGGATGTTGGAAAATTCTTGCATTGGTGCCTGCCAATCTCTTCCTTCAATTGAGGCCAGGAGAGTCTTGGCATCTTGGTCCAATATTTTCTGTGGCTGACTGTGTACTTGGGAGGTTTTCTTGGTCTGCCCTCTCTTGGGTTCCCTCAGCACTGGAGCAGGCTTTCAGAACCCATCTTCCATGTAGCCGGTTGTGCTGGGGGTTGTGCTGGGGGAACCTGCAGATGAAAAGGAGTGCCTGGGGGCATGATGGAATGGGGTAAAGAAGACCAGCAGCTGGGAACACACTCAGCTGGATGGCCAGAAAATCTTAGGGAATTGGATAAGGCCTGGACTCAGTTCCTTGGGACCATCCAGCTGCTCGGGCACTCTGGATCACCTCTCTGGATCCACTCAGCAAATTAGCAGGACTCCTTGCAGACAGAAAGGACCTTGCAAACAGAAAAGCAGGCTTGAGAGGCAGGGTGGGGTGGTACGAAGAAGCCCCAATGGCACAAACACTCCCTGCTACTCCTCAGACCTCTCTTCCCTGAAGCAGGCTGATTTGGAATATTCAAGGACCTCAGATATAAAAAGGAGTACTTGGGAGCAGGAGGAAATGTGGTAAAAAAAAAAATCCAGGATTCAGGAAGACACCCCTCTGTATAACCAGAAAATCTTTGGGAATTAGAGGGTGCCTGGACTCAGATCCCTGGGACCATCCAGGCACCCTCTAATTCCCAAAGATTTTCTGGCCATCCACTCCCCTCTCTGGATCCTCTCAGCACAGGATCAGAGCCTCTTGCTTGGCTCCAAGGACGTCACAGACAGTCCCACTGTTTTTCAATATGTTCCTCACATACATATTATTTCAGGGAAGTATTGGAATATTTTTGGATGCATTTTGAAAAATATATCCAGATACAAAATATTTCACTGAAACTAGTTATATTATTAGCTATTACTTGAGACATTTTGAATTTTTATTATATTTATTTATATAATTGTGTGTGTTTGTGTTTATACATGTGGACATAAATATGGACATCTGCAAATAAACTGTAAAAATTGGTTCTTTTCACTTTGTGAGTCAAAAGGATATGGACTCAGGCTGTCAGGTTTGGTGGCAAGAACATTACTCACTATGAAATTTTAAAAAATCATAAAATTAAAAATCAAATAGAAACATGTTTCTTAGCAAATTTGAATCAGGAATTTCTTATTACTTCTTATAAATTATTTATTTTAACTAAATTGTTAGGCCAACTCAATTATGAATAAATTTTTATTCCAACAGCCTTAGATACTTTTATACAAATTAAACTCTTGACTACTTTATCATGGGTAGATTATTTAATGTACTTTTTTTTGCATAATGCTTTGTAATCAGTTTCTCATTAATATGAAATTGTATGCCATCCATTGCTTTGTCTGTTTGGGTTCTTTGGACATGTCCACAGAGACAATATTTCTGTCAGAATGGTGTAATCATTGTCTCAAAATATGAAGCAATTGATGTCTCTATAGAGAATGATCTTCTTTTTTGATGTCTTATAATTTTATCTGTGGTATTTTCCTTATCCATGTAACAACCTAATGAGGTCTAAGTGCTTAATGTGAATGAATGTCTTATAATGTATTTGTCTCTGAGAAAGTAAAATAGAAAATGACAATGAAATGAGTCAAGAGGAACAAAATTCTAGTTTCTTTACTTCACATTTTTTTTACCGGTAACAAACATATTTAAGTATTAAGTCTCACAATGAGCTTTTACAAAAAAAATACATAAAATTTAGCCTTTGACATTCTACAACAAGGTTTTTATTTTGTCTGGATGGGAGTCTGAAACGTGCAAGATTGCTTGGAGAAAGTGTCATGAATGGATTATAATGAGTTAAACATTTAAGCTTCTCCTAGCTATATAAATACAATAATTCTTCTTTTCTTTTGCAGTTTCTTCTTTGTGGCATATGTGGAATACTGTGCGCCAAAAAAAAATCAGGACTTGTTGTAAGTTTTTGCCTTGTTTCTATCCTATATTGAAGGGTTTGAAATTCAAAACAGAAATTATAACTAGAGTACTTTTGTCTACTTAATGTTGCTAATTCAGGATTAAAGAGAAACTAAGAGGCAAATTTTGAGTTCAGTGTTTCAAAGAATAGTATCAAAATGTTAGAGATAAGTAAAACACCAGGCTGGACAGTGGTGGTGTGTGCTTTTAATCCTAGGATTTAGGAGGCAGAGGCAGGCAAATTTCTGTGAGTTCAAGGCCAGCCTGGTCTACAAGAGCTGGTTTCAGGACAGGCTCCAAATTTACAGAGAAACCGTGTCTTAAATAAAAAAGTAAACAAAAAACCACCAAAGTTCTTGAAAAACATCTTTGATACACTTTAAATACTTGAATATTTAAATTTTAATATTTGCTCTACATGAGAGTCTTTATATTTTTTCCTGTAGAGACACTCAAGAAATTACCTGGGTCCTTCATGGAGCAATAAACATAAAACCTATTCTGTGGAAAATTGACCTGATTAAATATAGATCTGTGACTGAGGATTACTTACGTTTTTTTCCTGTGAGGCTAATTTTGCAGAGCACCTAGAAAGAGGTGGTATTTGGTTGCAGTTGATTCTTTTAAAAGGTATTTAATAAATTTTTACTACTGTGAATACATATATAATTATTTTTGGATGTTTTATTGTAGTATCAAAGCATTCTGGAATAGGCAACATACTCCCTGTTAATTCTGATATTGTCTGTGAGGGAGCCCTACATGCTGAAGTGAGGACTCAGTCCTTATGACATTTTATCAGAGTTGAAAAGAAGGACAAGGCACGATTTATTCTATTGGTACCATATAAAATACCATAAGCTTTTATTAATTGGCAAATTTAGTTATACAAGGGACCTGGAGAATGTTCTTTGAGCTCAAAAAAAAAAGTTTTCCAATAGCAAGTCAGGTGTGGGGTCAGAGTAGTAAGTGCGTGTGGGGCTTCCCAATCATCCTTATCTTCCATCTTTCTTTGTGATGATATCTACTCTGGAAAGGCAGATAAAACATTCCCTGTGGCATCCATGTGTAAACTAATTGTTATACATTTGAAGGAAATGGGACTGTTAGGGGAAGTATGTTTATATTTTTAGTTGGCAGCTATAATTCTTCTATTACTCTTTAAGTATGGTCTTTATTCTTTATGCACTTTTAAACTATCAATACCAGTTATAGTTGTATTGGAACAGTTTGTTTAGAAAAAATAAAAGAAAGTAAAAATGAATGGAAAGGATGGGAGATCATTTAATATTGTATGTGAGTAAACATCAAAATATGTACTCAAGAAACTGTAAGGCAAGTGAATATCATTTAAATTAGTATATAAATGGTTAATTTTACTTGTTTTAAAATACACATTATAACTAAATAGAACAATTTTGTAAATTAGTAATCAATTTTCAACAATATATTCAATAAGATATACAAAGATTTTATTGTTTCAGCATTGGGTTTTCAATCCTGATAAGTAACCTGACATAAGCACAATAAGTAAGGCAGCATTAACTTGGAGAAATGAAGCAAATGACTGGACAAGTAGAAATCTTTGCCTGTCAAAATTTTCTTAGTGCTGTTTCAAATATTCATGGCCTGGTCCTCTCCTAGTACTTCACTGAAGGATATAGATTGCAACACTATTTTGATAATTTTTTTTCTCTACTCCTAAATCAATGTACTCTCCTCCCTCTCTCTGATATCGACCATGCCATACTTAATATGTTAAACCTCAATGCAGTAAAGTGTATAAGAATTGCATAATAAGAAGGAATTGTGAAAATCCTTCTAATGAGAAAGGCAGCCTCACTTAGGGCCAGTACTCAAATATTACTTGTAGAGCTCAACTAACTGTTGAAAGCAAACAATATCTTATAATGTAAAAAATACATTCAAAAATATGTTATAAAACTCTTTGTCCTAAAGAATTAACACAACAAATAATATCAATAATATCCAGGAAGGTCTTCTGAAAAAGTTATGACTTTTTTCTGCTAGCTGTTCAAGGACAAAGCAAAATTATTTTCAGGAAACTGTAAATGTACTTTTTATGAAATGTGTGTGGTGTGTCCAAGGGTAAGAAAGCTTTGCTGGGAGTATAGTACAATTGTAGAGTACTTGCCTAGCATATGATAGGTTCTGTTTGACCCTAAGAACTAGGAAGAAAAGTGTAATTGACTACTGTGCTCCAGAAAAGGAAATATGAATGGATAATAAGTAAATATCATCCTCTAAAGATCCATTATATCCTATAGGGTAATTTAGACCAGTTTCCTAAAGCAAATACAGTTATTATGAGGTTCTTTAGAGAATCAACTAAATTTATTAGTATTCACAGGATGTTTCCTGCATAGAAAGCATATTACTTACTGCTGCCAAAGGTCCTCCATAGATTGATTAAGTATTTTAACTCTATAAATATGAGACCCATATTGAACCAGTAGTAAGATCAAGAATAAAAGCCATGTTCTATGTTTCTTAAAAACAATCAAACAACACTTTTGAAACAGAAGCTGTGTAATATTTGCTGTGGTGTCTCAGGGCAACAATAGATTTCACTGATTTTGAGTCAAACTATGGAAAGTTCCAAAGATGCTCATTTGTGGAAATACACAAAGATGATTTAACTAATTTCCCCAATTTCACCTAAGTAGAAGTTACTGATACTTGGAAACTTGAGAAGATTTCAGAATTAAACAGAATTTAAGTCAGAGAATCTGAACTCATCACCATTCATTTCTCCAAATTATATTAGTGTTTCTTTCAGAAGACCTCTGGGAGGGATCACCAGGTGATGACTCTTCCTCAAAGGCATGCATATTAGAGACTGGCATTATTTCATCTGGATCTATCCAAAAGATAAATTTAGTTTACTTCAGAGTTTCATAAAATATATACCATTGGTTTCATTTTAGAAGTTCTATGATGTACTTTCTCTGTAGTGAATCAGACTGAGTGAAGTCTTCACTGACTGGCACCTGTCACCTCTTTATAATCAAATAGAACACATCCTTTTCATTATAGGTTTACAATCCTTGGCCTGCAGCACCACAAGGCTCTATGTTCTGGACATCTCAACCTTATCAACTTTAACATCCTCTTTCTTCTTCTTCTCAGATGATCCTCTTTTCAGCTTGTTGTATCTGTGGGCTCATTGGTGGCATCCTGAATTTTCAGTTTCTTCGGGCAGTCACAAAGAAGACTTCATCAGTGTACCCACTGCACCTCGCATCCATGTCTTTGGCATGTATTGGCATTGGGGGATGTACTCTGTCTTCCTGGCTCACTTGTCGTCTAGCCAGCTATGAGCAAAGGAGAATGTTCTCAGAAAGGGAACATTCCCTGCATCATTCTCATGAGATGGTTGAGAAAGTGAGTTTTGTCATTTTACCTCACACTGCTGCCATGCAATGTACACAGTAATCTAGGAGAATCAATTTACAAGCTTAGATGGAAATTTGGGGATCACATTTTGTAAGTTTGACCCTGTTAGATTAAGAAAATGTTGTTTTAAAATTAATTTTTTTTCTGAAATTCATAAGCACAGCCCTATTTAGCACAATTTTGTAGCATCCATCTATTCGAAACCATAGCTCCTGAAATAGCATTTCACAAAATATTAAGCACCTTACTGAGGAAAAACATACACTAAATACAGCCTCTGCTTAATAATGCCATCGTTAGAAATCACATGAATTCTCTTATCCAGTACATCCTTTGTGCTTATAAGTTGATGTGTTTGATTATGTAAATTGGATCCTCAAGCAGAAAAAAGCTCTTTAATAAGGTGACATAAGCCTTGTCTATGAGTGCAGATATTACAATACTTACAAAGCTTCATTGAGCTCTCATCTAAACTTCATGCATATTTGGATAGCTATTTCTGTATTTTACACAATGCTGTTTGCGTAATTGTATTATGAAGCCAATTCAAACAGAAAGTAATATTAGTTGCATTAAAAGGCAATTAGTATAGAAAGAGCTGTGTGTTCCAATTGCATTTGGTATACATTTCCAAACTCAGTTCCTGTTACATCATCTATTGAGGAAGAGATAAACATCTGTAAAACTTAATTAACTAAATCAATGGGCAAATTATATTTTGATTTATTTCTTAAAAATAAAATTCTACAGTAATAGCATTAAAGAAATAGTAGTAATAGTTATGCATATTTCTTTATAATATTATTTTAAAGTTAATAAATATTTACTTTGTAGTTTATCTGGCTTCCTTTCATATCTTATCTATACATTAGGAAAAGCAATTCTCATTTGCTTTCCCAAGGAAGTAATTGTGGGCATATTTGTAAATTTAAAATAAAAGATTTGACATTATATTAGAAAAATTAATGTCTTCATATAGGTAATTAAAATAGAAGATAAGTACATACTGTAATAGATGCTCCTTTATGCTCTATTTTTATGCTAATGTTATGCTAATTTTATGCTAACTCTTCTTTGTATATGTTTGTTTGATATTTATTGTATAATTGTTATATTTACATTAGAGATTGAGAGCTATTGAAATAACCGACTTGCCCAGCTGTCCGATGGTGCCCCTGACACCAGAGTTACCTACAAGGTATGCTGACTTCTAGGGAGTTACTATGTTGGAATGGTGCTACAGAAAGCACTGCCTTTTTTAGAAAGCCATGATGCCAGTCGATCAATCTGGACTGATGCTGTATGTTCCTCAAAGTATCCCTTTCAGGAGAGCTATTCTGAGGAGCAGATATAACCTACATGGCAGAATCTTACAACATCTAAGTTCATGGGGAATTTCAATTATTCACTCTGCCTCTAAACATTCAAGCACATCTCTGCTTGGATCAATCATAATTCTCTTTATTCTCTGCTGCATCACAATTCTGACTCAGTTTCATCATTCACATATGAAAATTTTCCTTTTAATAATAAATTAGTCTTGATAAAGGTACACTGTGTATTTCTGTCATAATAATATTGAATGAACAGATAATCAAAGTTTAAAATTAATATAGTAAAATGTTTGTATATAAAGTTTCTATTGGTAAAATTAGGTGATCTATTACATTTCTAGTTGTTAACAACAGTCAAGGCTCTTGGATTGATCAAAGATCCTAACTGAAAATACAGAAAGTTACATTTTCAGTCCATTTGAAGGAAGTATTTTTTATAGATATTCTAGTCTTCTCGGCTAAATTAGAAGTATGATCTTATTAAATTGGAAAAGCCAATTTGCAAATGAAATGATGAGACTCATCGATTTAAAACTAACTTCCCTATAGTTTCTCTCAGTAATTTTACTGTATATGAGACTGAGTGATTTTAGTTAAGAAAACTCTTGAATTTGTAAGATGTTAGAAAGCATTTTTCAAAAAACCTTACATATTATATTATATACATAATATATACATATATTATAGTTTTATGGAAATTAGGCATTTTTTTTCTTTTCTGTTTTTCATTTGAACTCTTCTTAGAGAATGGAAATGACAGATGAAATTCTTATTTCTATGCCCTTACTATGAAGTTTGCTTTTTCAGCCATGCAGTGGTGGTGCAGTTCTTTAATCCCAGCATTTGGGAGGCAGGGGCAGGCAGATCTCTGTAAGTTCAAGGCTAGCCTGGTCTACAAGAGGTAGCTCCAGGACAGGCACCAAAGCTACAAAGAAACCTTGTCTCAAAAAGCAAACAAACAAACAAAAAAAACCCAGAACTTTGCTTTCTCTCCTAGCAGAATAAAGAAGAAAATGTGCTTCATTAAACTTTATAAGTTTGGGAATTGAGTTTGGTTAATCTTTTCATTAATCAGTTTTTTATCATTATAAGCTTAACACCAGCCCAATAACCCTTACATTTCTATATCTGCTTTATTGTGCCTTCCTTAGAAACCTTCCCAACAGAAACAAAATAGAAATGAGTATCAAGCAGAAGAATATGAAACAAGGAGTTTTCACTTGAAATGTGTTTGCTGTCCTTCAGAAAGTCAACTTGAAGTATAGAATTTTCAATCTTGAATAAAGGACAATTTTGCTAATATATATATATATATATATATATATATATATATATATATATTGCTAATTATATACAGATAATATATTATCTATAACACTATTATAAATGTTAACGGGACTCTGATTTCAAGACTTCTTTTCATATAATGAGGGACCTAATAGCTAATGAATAGGGGCTGGCAGCCGGGCGGTGGTGGCGCATGCCGTTAATCCCAGCACTCGGGAGGCAGAGGCCGGCGGATCTCTCTAAGTTCGAGGCCAGCCTGGTCTCCAAGAGCTAGTTCCAGGATAGGAACCAAAAGCTAGGGAGAAACCCTGTCTCGAAAAATCAAAAAAAAAAAAAAAGAATAGGGGCTGGCAATGTGGCATAGTTGGTAGAGTGGTTACCTAGCAGCTCAAGCATCTTACTGACAGGCAAATGACACATGCCTGGGTTACTCCCACTCCAAATATGTGCATGAGGATTATAAATTTAAGGCCATTCCCCAGGTACATAGTAATTTCTTCCAAGTATTGGCTATATCAGACCTTGTCTAAAAATCAACCAACCAACCAACTTAACAAACAAAAACAGTCAATAAGTTATATGAATTTAAATAACCTAAAATTTAAATATTTTCTATAATTGCAAATGAAACTCTCTATGTTACTTTTTCTTGTCTGTGTACTTACATCTTCACAAGCACATTTTTGTTATTTCGTAGTAACAAGAACATTAAAACATGCCCCACGTTTTCATTGCCCCCATTGCTTTTTCTGTGTAAATGATGTCATTAAAAACAATTTCCTGTCTAGGCATGATGATTTACACCTAGAATATCAACATTCAGAGAACTGAGGCAGAAGGATTGCAAGTTTGAAACAACTCTGAGGTACACTCAAGTTTTACAGCAGTTTGGGCCACATTTCTAAACCCTTTTCAAAACAAATATTTGTCTCACTGTGAATGTCTTTCAGTTTATAAACAAAAGGCTCCACAGTTTTTAATTTTTCTATAAACACCTGTAGAATATTTTGACATTTTGTTGATGTGATTGGCAGAGCAGTTGTGTTTTTGGCAAAACCTGGTCAATTAGGCATCTTCTTTCTGGGTTAGTTAATTCCAAAAGTGAGTTGAAGTAAAGAGGGGAAATATGGGCATGTGAAAAGATAGTGTATACCTTGTGTATATAATCCTGGGCTGTCAGTTCAAAATTTTCATGTGATTTAAGACTCCAATAAATTTTATTTCCTAAATCACAACAACAGTATCAATCGTTGTCCTTCCCTGTAAAATGCTCTTCAATGACTTGTAATCTCTGCTTTTCTACTAAGCCTATCAATGTCTTACTCTGAAGTGAGTTTTAATTCATTCATATTATTTTGCTAACAGGAAATGACAGAGAACATGAGCAATGGAGGACCACAGCTGATATTTAATGGAAGAGTACAATCACTGTTTTAAAGAAGTGAAAAATTTTCAGGTTGTTCATGAAGTAGGAGAGGTTGAAGTCTTGGGAGCTGCAGTTAAAACATTTGTTGCATTTACAGTTATTTCTCCTGAGCATCCACTAAAATTATTCCTTCTCAATTTTGCCTCACATACCATCAGCCTTTTCTATAGGGTAAAAACTTTCCAGAAACATTGTAGATTTTAGTCTCTTCAGAAGTTGTTCTGAAAAAGACTCTTCCAGAAAACTAAATGAAACAGCTATTATTACTACTATACACAAACAGCATTTGACTAGCATGAGCTTTTATGACTAATTCAAAAGTAAACACATAAAGAACTAACAATAACATATTAATGTCTTTGTTTTGAAAGACTACTGACTTCAATTATATTAAGAATCAAAGCCTCAGTAATGCCTTGTTGTAACATTGTAATTAATTTCAGTTTGTGAATGAACTACATTTCATGGTTTATTTGTAAACTACAAAAGGTGCAGCATAAAAGGTGAAATTTTAGTGAAAGAATATTAATCTGTATGATATTTTTTCACTTTTGCACAAATTAAAATATTGTTCAAGACAAATAAGTATGTTTTCACCATACTGTGCAGATTCATCTGCATGTTCATGAGATAATTTAAAAACAAAATATGTGTTATACATAGATGTAAATATACTGTAAATATAGAAAATACATGCAGCATATATTTATAGCTACATGAATGTAAATAGAAAATAGTAAATAAGTTGTGTGGGTATGAAGGTAGTCTATCAGTTATAGGAAGAACATTAATCAAAGATTTACAAGACTATAAGGTCACAGACTTAGTTTCTACTCTTTCTGTCCATTTTCTTCTTTTTGTTAAGTATATTGTATGTAGATAGAATTGTGGCTTACATTTATAGAGCTGAGTGACTTGAAAACTGAATCATAAATTACATAGTTATTGGGCATATTACTGTGATCATGGTGTTATATAAAAGTAATTTTCAATATTTATTTATAAATATAACTTTAATCTTATATCTCTATATTTATAAACAAAAGTTATTTAAGTGTTTTGTGTCCTTTGATGATTAATATAAAATAATACAGACTGGTCATATTTGGGCAGGTGTATATTGAAAGCATCTGATGGTATTCTCAGTATAAGAAAATTGAAAGATAAACTGACTTTCATATAGCTAGATTCAAATCTTCTCTTCCACAATGGAACAATAAAATAACAACACAATATGTATAAATGAGGAAATAGCATGGACTTCAAGATGTTTCTGAAAATTAATTTCTGCCAATCTCCAAAGTAATATTTTAAAATAAGTAACACTTCACTATATATTTTTATTACTTGCCAAAACTAAACAAATTTCAACTCATTTTTATGAGTTATTCAATTGCAGGAAACTTCATACCTTTATTGCTCAGTATAAGAAAAGATTATAATCACAAGAAAGACAGGAGCTTTTATTGTGCTAACAAAACAGCAATAATTTGGTCTATGAGCCTTTGACAAGGCTGTTGAATTTAACTCCACAGAAAATTATGACTGAACAGAAATAGCTGCCCTCTACTTGTGTTTTGGTATAGTTTTGACTCTTCCCACAATTGTTTGGATACTTCATCTTCTGGTATATTGCAGATGGTGTCCATAGATTCAATCTTAAATAATGAGTAAGTATCATAACTATTCATTTCATGCCACATATAGACCTATTTCTCACTAACTATCTAAACTGTAAAATGTGGAGATCTCATGTATTTTAACAAATTGAGGCAGGAGATAGCTTCATCTTTAAGTGAGAAACAACTGGCTCTAACTTTGGTAGATTTCTCTGTAGACATTTTATAAAATTCAGAATCAAAATACATCAACACATTTAATGTCATTTGAATTTATTTTTAAAGTACATATTAAAAGATCAAAATGTGGTATCCCTGCTTTGAAACACAGCTAAGAAGAGATGCAAACACTTCAGTTATCTAAATAGTTCAGTGTGTGTGTTTTTAACCAATTTTAAACTGTAATTATTTCAAGTCAGTGTTTCTTGAGTTCCATTGGGATTATTTACTTGGGATATGAGGTGATTCTTGAGATAAGTAGAGGGCATTAAGACATTATGTAAGTAATTAAAGTTTTAATTTTGACCAAAAACTAACAAGGAATCAAAAACATTAATGCCTACATAATAGTTTTAGTACATACTTACCCTTGAGGAAACATAAAGTTATACTAAATTAAAAATATATGTAAAACTGATTTGGAGTATGCTTTACATACAAAAAGAAAAAGTTGTCATTTATTGAAAATTAAAAAATATTCATATGTTTATATGTGTGCAATATACACACAACTGTTTTGAAGTGGAATGTTGTATGATGACTCCTGATGTTTACATAATAAAGCTATATGCTTTGAAACTACAGAGCCTATGAGCATTGTTCTTTTTATAGTTCAAGATGGTCTATTTCAACAAATATTTAAGAAACTACTATTCTGACACTGGTGGAGAGAAAGGCTCCTGAGAATGAGGAAGAAGGGGGTCAGAACCAGACAATAATGGAATTCAAGAAGGTGATTATTTGACATAGAAAAAAAATGAGAAAATGTCCTAATGCACACAGGTTGAATAGATTGAAGATATAAAAAGAAGAAAATGATTATAATAAAGTAATATCCCTGAGATCCAGGGGAAAATAAAGTATAAATCAGTAGGGGCATACAGAAATGTAGGCAAGATGAGATTACATATTTCACAAATTAAGTGATATTTAAGAGAATTCTGATGTCCTACTTAAATTTCTCAAATCAGTTTTTATCAGTGGTTGCAGTGGCAATGACCCATTTCAAACATTTTTCTTTTTTTTAACTTTTGTTTGTTTGTTTGTTTGTTTATTTATTTATTAAAGATTTCTGTCTCTTCCCCGCCACCTCCTCCCATTTCCCTCCCCCTCCCCCAATTAAGTCCCCCCCCCAGCCCGAAAAGCAATCAGGGTTCCCTGTCCTGTGGGAAGTCCAAGGAACCCCCACCTCCATCCAGGTCTAGTAAGTTGAGCATCCAAACTGAAAACATTTTTCTATATATTTCAAGTCAGTTATTCTACATTTCATGTGCTCTAAATGCCATAAAAAATTTAATCAATTATTCTAATAAAAAAGAGTCTCCTAACAAGTATTTATGTTTCTCTAGTTATGGTAATATTACCCAGTTTAGAACCAGGTAGAAAACCCTTGAACATGATTTGGTGCCACCAATTTTATTGGTGTCCACAAATGCTGTACTGACTTGGTTAAGTTACACACTCACCATTCTAAAGTATTAAGGCTTAGAACTTAGGTCTTCCTGTCCTTCTCTAGGTTATTTCACAGTCAATAAAAAAATCTATATGAATCAAATACATCCATAGACTGATCAGAACTAGTGAAAGCTGGGAGAACCTTAATCCTGCCTCAAAGTTATGTGCCTGACTTCATTGACTTCCCATTCTTACACTTTCTGAGGAGTAGATGGGGGGAAGGTATTCCAGGAGGAGGGGAGAGAGTAGTAACAAGAATAACTATGTATAATTAAGAAAATATTGCATTAAAATAATTCTTATATCGAAAAAGTAGTGAAATCAAGTGAATGTGATGGACCTGCCCACAGTAAAGCTCAGAACTTGATTTAGAGAATTTTTGGTTCTTTTTTTTCTATTTTTAAATATTGGCTTGCAGAAATATTATGCTAACTCCATAATATTTAATGTTTGTCATGCAAAAATGAGCTGTCATGGAGTTCCTGTTCCTGGAGAAGTTTGTGGCTATAGTGGCATGAGCCACTGATTAGTACTGCATTGTTTGTGCTTGGGCAAGTGAAAATAATACTACTCTGCTTTCCACTTGAGTCTTCAACTTAACCAAAAAATGAGAGAGTTTAAACCGTATATTCCAAAGTACATTTTCAAAGATTATGTAGCAAATATGTTTCAAAAACTTAGGGAAAATATGTTAAGCTCCATTTGGTTATAATGCTGTTTCCAAATAAAATTTCAGAACTTGACATTGTTCCACTCTATTCTTCTCTAAGTAATCTTTCCAGAAACATGTGTAATATTTGTGACTCAAAGTACACGACAGACAAAAAAATCAATTAGTCCAAATCCATAAATTGAAAGTTGTCAGTTACTCATCACAGAGGAAACCAATCAGACTGGATGACTAAAAAACATTTATAGAGGTAATTTTCCACTACTCTTTGCCATGAAAGTGCTACACATTTAATATGTAAATATCTCTGCTAGAAATTTGTTTTCCAATGGGTTGTTGAAATGATTAAAACTACCTCGAGGTTATGGTAATTTAATATTTTGTTTGTCATCTAATTGTATTAATAGTAGAAACATTGATTTTAGGCATCAAACCTTCATATAGTAGGAATTCTTAAAGAATGAAGGGCTGCCATTATTCTTTTTATAAATCAACTAAGTACTATTGATTTTGAAGTTGTGTATCATTTCTAGTTAAAAGATTTCCTTTCCATTCACCTAGTTCACTGCAAGCCCTCATTCAAATTCAGGTATATTTTGGTCCTGAGAATTTCACAGCATCTCTAGAACTTCATAGAAAAATCTACAATTTCTCAAAAATATTTTGTTATTTATCAGAAATCAGTACTTGTGACTCTGCCATGTTCTTTGTTCTTACCAACATACCTGTATACTGATTTTCAAACACCATTACTTAACATCCTGAAGAAAAATTATTTGAAGAGCTTCAAACTTGCCTTTCAGTTCAGGTAGCTCTACTGGTTAATTCTTGCCCTCATTCTGGACTATACTCCAAGAATAAGAAAACATGTGCCCTGGTTAGAATTTTGTCAGTGTGGCACAAGTTAATGTCACCTGGGAAAAGAAACTGCAATTGAGAAAATGTCTCAATTAGATTTCTTCCAGGCATATACTCAGGGTATTTTTTATTAATTATTGGTGTGAAGGGACCTACCTCATAGATGATATTGCGAACCTTTCAGGGGTTATCTTGGATGGTATAAAAAAGAAGCAGCCTGAGCAATTCATTGGGAGCTAATGAGGAAGCAGCACTCTTCCATATAGTCTGCCTCAGTTCCTGCTCATAGTCACCTGCTTTTAATTCCTGTCTAGACTTCACCTGATGATGATGGATTGTAACCTGTAAACAAAATAAAATCTTTCTTTTCCATGTTAATTTTTGTTACAGCGTTTTATCACAGCAATAGAAAACTAACCCTGACAATACATCACACACACACACACACACACACACACACACACACACTAGACACTATAACCATTTATATACTCTGTAAGCCCTAGTTAGAAAGATTTCCAGATGTCCAGAGATCATATATCTATTCATAAAGTTTCCATTAGTCAGTGTTTTCTGTTTGTAAAGTACAATAATAAATCCTCCTAAATAAATCCCTTATATTGTAAAACAATGCTGTATGTCCTGTTGTAAAATAATCTTTTTGTATACTGTAAATATGTGTCTTTGTCAAGGTGCTGTGGGAGCACATTCTGCTTTTTCAGCCAATAGTATTTAAGATACCGGCCCACTTGGGTTTGGTCTCTTATACTATAAATGCCTCTGTAAAGCATGTTTTCACTCTCTTGCTTCTGGCTCTCTTTTCCAGCTGCTAGACTCTGTTCCTGTTTGTGCAGAGGACTGATATCTAGGACAGTGATCTTTAAGTCTAACCCTAAATAAATATCCCTCTCTTCTGAGTTAGTGTGTGACTTAAGCATCCATCTTCATCTGGCGCCCAACCAATGGTTTTAGAATCCCTGGCTCTGAGTGCCACCCATCCTCTGCTGGGTTCAGAGCATGCCTGGCTTAGTGTGGGTCCTCCCTCACCTTGCCTCAGCCATGGCCTGTGCATGGAGCCAGCAGTTCATTTGGATATAGAATTTTCATGCAGCAGATTTCTTGCTACAGATCAGCTGTGGTTCTTTATGTTTTCTCATTACATGCCTCAGAACATCTTCAAGTCTCCACGTGCCCACTGCTTACCTCCTGCCAGTGTGCACTATGGAAAAGTCAGGCTTCCCTGGTCTGAGCCATCTGTTCTACAATTTGTCTGCATTTGCTATTCGAGTGCTTTTGGGACATCTGCACAACACACAGTCTGTAATTTATCTTTCAGCATTTCATTCTAAAATCAGATTCAGACCAGCCATGTGACTCCAAGTACACCACTAGGTCCCACTGGGTTTGTTTTATAGGTGTCTCATGACACCTACTGCCAGGTAATGGTTATTGCCCCTTCTCCAGCTCAAACTCAACCACAAAATTCATAATTTGAAATATAAATTATAAGTTTATAATTTAAAAGGGCAATATGTCAGACAACCTAACCATCCATGGCTTCAATAACTTCTTTATTTACACCATGTATGAGATTTGCAAGACTTATATGATTTCCCTCCTAAATCACTATTTTTTATTTTGGGGATTAGTCTTGTCCTCAACATTTTTTCCTTAAAAATATGGTTTGATAATAGGTCTAAGAATATGGTGCTTGGATGCACCTCTTGTAGTCCTGACTTTTTTGCTCATGTTCTCCCTCCTTCTGCTCCTCATTTGGACCTTAGGAGCTCAGTCCAGTGCTCCAATGTGGGTCTCTCTCTCTATCTCCATCCATTGCCAGATGGATGGGAGCTCACCAAGGCCAGCTGGACTGGGACTGATGGAACATGTGATCAAACTGGACTCTCTGAATATGGCTGACAATGAGGGCTGACTGACAAGTCAAGGACAATGGCACTGAGTTTTGATTTTATTGCATGGCCTGGCCTTGTGGTAGACTAGTCTGTTTGGATGCTCCCCTTCCTAGACCTGGATGGAGGAGGGAGAACCTTGGACTCCCACAGGGCAGGAAATTCTGACTGCTCTTAGGACTGGAGAGGGAGGGAGAAAGGGAGTAGAGGGAGTAGGAGGGAAATGGGAGGAGGGGAGGAGGTGAAATTTTTTAATAAATAAATTTTAAAAAGAATAAGGTCCTTTTAGAAATGGTACAGACTGATATTAATTTATTAAAATGAAAATTTCGCACTCTGGATAAGGATACAGTCTATTTGGCACATAAAACCCAATCAATGACAGCGAATGCTGAAACATTATTTGAGATAATTAATACAGTTGAATATATTGATCAGACTCTGTCAAAGGAGTATGACAGATTGACTTATAGAATGTTGCTCCAGGAAGATAATATGCATGCTATGAAGATTATGTCCAAGGATGAGACATTATCTCCACTGGACAGACTTCATACCTTGGAATCCTCAATGAGGGCATTAGAACAGAACTCTGTACAGGAGATCCAGATTCTACATAAGGCAATGGTAAATAGATTTGAAGATATTGAGGAATTTATCAAATTT